ACAATCTGGCCTTTTCCAGAAAAGGTTAGATGGACTTTTCCAGAAAAAATTAGCCAACCCCGAGTCTAGAGGGGAGACTGACACCCTGAAATCCCACCACCACAGTTGCACTGCGAGGAGCACTAGAGAAGGGGGCATGGTCAGGGGCTCCAGAAACACAGAGCAGATCCCCAAGTCCAAACTGTTGTTGGGGGAGGGGTAAAAGGAGCAGGGGAAAGACGAGATGCGAAGGCGTGAACGTGAGAGAGGCAATGTGAGGAATCTGGGAAAAGCAGAACATCTGGTGTGGCTGGAAGGCTGCATAAGTGGGGGGGCATAGACAGCCCCAACTTCGACTGCACATGAGCAGAAAGTTTGTCCCCTCCCCACAGCACAGGCTCTCTGCCAGCCATTCCACAACATGTGGCACACACCTCCACCCCCGCCAGCCTCTCCTCCTCCATTAGACAGGCAGCTCCTGTCAACTGAAGGGCCTTGAACCTTCAAACAAGCCTCTTTGTGCCGTGCCTCAGTTTCCTTATCTGTAAAGTGGGGTTAATAAAGTATCTACCCTTAAACCAGTGATTCTCAACTGAGAGGGATTTTGCCACCCCCACAGGACATCAGGCAATATCTAGCGACAATTTTGATTGTCACAACTGAGGGGAGGGAGAGGTGCTATTGGCATCTAGTAGGTGGAGGCCAGGGTGCTGCAAAGATCCTACAGTGCACAGGACAGCCCCACACAACAGAGAATGATCCGGCCCCAAATGTCAATAATCAACAGTACTGAGGTTGAGAAACCCTGTCTCAGAGGGCTGATAAAAGGAAATGGAGAGCTAAGAAGCACACCTGGTTGGCTGTAAGTGCTTAATAACTATTAGCCACTATTATTATCATTCTCGCCATTATGTGTCCTGTTCTTTGCCAAATACTAGGGACTTGCTGGTGAACCAGACAGACATAGCTCCTCCCCGCATGAGCCCACCAGTTTCATTTTTCCAGTTAGCCTGGAAGTCCCTCGACGGAAGAAAGTCTCCCTCCTGGGTGTGGCAAAGCTAGATACAGAACAGCAGTATTTTATAAGAATCCAAAATTCATGACTCTGAAAGAGTGGAAAATGAAATATACTCATAAAGTCTTACTTTCTTCACATGTTTTTTGCAATACAAGGCCCCCAAAATTAAAAATAAAAATCTCCAAGGTTCATGTGTCTTCAAAGCTACAAGGCACAGGGCATCACTCACTGTATTTATGCTACTGCCCGTGGGTGGCCCCAATTAGAGAGTGTAAGGTAAATTCTGGACATAGACCTATTTCCTCCTCCCTGTGCACACCAGAGTTCCCCCTCCCCCCTTGGAAACTACCCCTGGCCAAGGTAGCTACCTAAGGAAAGGCACATCTCCTTTAAGACAAATGGAAGACTGTAGGAAGCAGGAGCCAAGTAAATTAATTAGCATGTAAATGTAGCTAGCACACTAATGTTAAACTACTCTGGAGCCAGGAGGGTAAGAAGTTAACTTATCTACTCAGCCACATCTTGTGGGAGCTGAGTTGGGTGAGNCCAAATACTAGGGACTTGCTGGTGAACCAGACAGACATAGCTCCTCCCCGCATGAGCCCACGAGTTTCATTTTTCCAGTTAGCCTGGAAGTCCCTCGACGGAAGAAAGTCTCCCTCCTGGGTGTGGCAAAGCTAGATACAGAACAGCAGTATTTTATAAGAATCCAAAATTCATGACTCTGAAAGAGTGGAAAATGAAATATACTCATAAAGTCTTACTTTCTTCACATGTTTTTTGCAATACAAGGCCCCCAAAATTAAAAATAAAAATCTCCAAGGTTCATGTGTCTTCAAAGCTACAAGGCACAGGGCATCACTCACTGTATTTATGCTACTGCCCGTGGGTGGCCCCAATTAGAGAGTGTAAGGTAAATTCTGGACATAGACCTATTTCCTCCTCCCTGTGCACACCAGAGTTCCCCCTCCCCCCTTGGAAACTACCCCTGGCCAAGGTAGCTACCTAAGGAAAGGCACATCTCCTTTAAGACAAATGGAAGACTGTAGGAAGCAGGAACCAAGTAAATTAATTAGCATGTAAATGTAGCTAGCACACTAATGTTAAACTACTCTGGAGCCAGGAGGGTAAGAAGTAAGTTAACTTATCTACTCAGCCACATCTTGTGGGAGCTGAGTTGGGTGAGGGTCTACACATAAGCATGTAAATGATTTACACCTCTCCTTTGATCTGTTCACTATATAACTGTTGTATATACCCCATGGTGGTGCAGATTTCTACCTGACTGGCTGCCATCAGCACCTCCCGAAAGTTGAATAAACCAGTATCTCTGCCTATTGCAATATTGGGTGAGTTTCTTTGGAATAGGTGAACACTGTGTGAGTGCCCTTTCAGATTTGGGGCTCCTGCAATACAGAGAGTTAAGCAGAAATACCCACCTCTGTCATTATATCAAACCAATGGGAAAAACAATTCTTTGAATTCCCCGAGAATGGAGGAGATGGCAAACTACCACCGAAATCCGTGTTTCCCATCTCTGTCACTAGCTAGAGACATTTCCCAGCCTCCCTGGCAATTAGGTACGACCATGTGACTAAATTGTCCCTGGTAGAAATATAAGTAAAAGAGATACATGTAACTTCCAGACTTGGTTCATAACCTCTCCCGATTCCTCAATTAACGTGTGCATACCCTGTTGCAATGGGGCTTTGCAGCTCTTTGCATTAAGAGGGGCAATCTCTTTTCCCATTCACTGAATCTGGACTGGCCTTGTGATCTCTTAGCCACAGAATGCAGGGCAAGTGAGGCTGTGCCAAGTCTAAGCCCAGCCTCAGGAGGCCCTGGAGTCTTCTGCTCCTTTCTTAGAATCCAGCTACCACCATGTGAACAAGCCCAGGCTAGCCTGATGGAGCATGAAACTATGTGATCATCACAGCTGAGGCCATCCCAGACCAGCCTACAGCCAGCTGACCCCCAGCCAGGATCAGCAGAGCCCCCTGTCCAACCACCGCTGACCACAGATAGATAGGGAGCCCAGCGGAGACTAGAGTAACCCACCTGACTTGTAGACTTCTGAAAATGATGTTTTAGGCTACTAAGTTGTGGGGTGATTTATTATGCTGCATAGCTAACTGGTGAACTCATACTCCATACTCTTTCCCTCTCTGCTATCTGGATTCAAACAAAAATGTGGCTTTCGAGGGAGCAGAGTCACAAGAGGGAAGAAGCTCGGGTCCCTGAATGGCTGCAAAGTCCCCCACTGACCTGAACCTAAGTATTTTATCTGAGCAAAAAATAAATTTCTAATATGTGAGCTATTACATGTTTGGGTATCTTTGACACAGCGGCTTAGCTTACCCTAAGGAATAAAGTTTTAATTAGGTGAGCTCTTCAGGAAATGCATTCCACATACAAAATGCACCAGTGCCCATAACATCCATCATGTAGCTCCCGGGTGGCTAGTGAACAAACCTTAGTCTCCGCTTCTCAGAGATGTTCAGTGCATACTTCCGAAGGGACTGGTTACTGAGGTTTTCAGTGATTCCTCCCTCCAGTTGGGAGCTGTAAGAGTCAGTTGGCTTCAGCAAAATGCCACTTTGCTTGTCCCGGGAAAGGATGTTTGTCCTCCTGCGTGCAACTGACCGGTAGCTTGGCAATTCTTGAAGGAAGTTCACAGGTGGAGAGGAGAAGCAACTGGAGTCCAGAGAGAGATTCTCTGAGAAAGAAAAAAAGAAAAAAGAGAAGAAAACCATCATTCACTCCAATGACCTTGGAAGCCAAAAACCTTGGGAGACTAGGATCTCGTAGAACATAACTAAACCTTGCATATAGTCACTAGCCTGGGCCAGAGACAAAAGCATTTGGATCTTATTTTATTTGCCATCATGGTGCTCAGAACAATGAACACATGGGCAAATGGGTTCATTTTGTGTAGATGTGTTTGTAAACATGCTTTAAGTTGCATGATATCTTTTAAGTTTTAGTGTTTAGCTGCAGCCACTAGCCAACGTGTGGCCTTGGGCAAGTTATCTAAACTCTGTTTTTCATTTGTCAAATGGGTTAATAACATTTGCTCCAACTATCCTCAACAGTGTAGGGTAGAAGAAAATATGCAATAAAACCTTGAAAAGCATAATGTGCTATACAAATGCATGGAAATAATAACATCAGCAGTAATAATAATAGAGTTTAGTGAGCATTTCCTGTGTGTTAAGAGATTCCCACACACTCATAGGATCTGGGCAGGCCTTGTGATCTGCCTGGAACAACAGAACACAGAAGCAATCCTGTGCCATTTCTAAGCCCCATCTCAAGAGGTCTTGCAGGCTTCGGCCTCTCTTTGCAGCCCACCTGGAACAAGCCCAAGCTAACCTGCTGGAGGATGAGACCATGTAGCGATGGTCACCCAGCTGAGGCCATCCCAGACCAGCCTTCAACGAGAGACCCTTAGTGGACCACAGACACAAGTACTGAGGTAGGTACTATTATTATCCCCATTTAATAGATGAGAAGATAGTCATGTATGCACTCCCCATCCCCTTGCCTGAGCCCTCAAAGCCCTGCATGATCTGATCCCTGCCCACCTCTCCTCAGGCTCCTAGCCTCCCAACCACACATATTTTAGAATCTTTCAGATACTAACATGGGCTCAACTCCCTCCTCTTCAGAGCCTTTGCAGATGCTGTTCTCTCAGCCTGGAATAAACTTGCTCCACCTCTTTACCCTAAGAACTCCTACTCAAACGTCACTTCCATAGGGAAACTGTCTCTGCCTCACTGTACTGTTATACAGGTGCCTTATTAACACATTTTCCCAAACCCAGAGCTAATCACAATCTGCAAATACATATTTATTTGTGTGACTTGTGTGAGTGATGTCTGTCTCCCCTGTTGGACTGTAAATTCTTGGAGGGTAGGGACTTTGCTGATATCACCACTGTACCCCTGGACCTAGCACCATCCTTGGCACAGAGCAAGAGCCCAATAAATACTTCTGGATGGACAGATGAATGAATGACATTCCTAATCTGCCTATGTTTAGACAGCCTGTGATTGGAGAGCTGGAAATAGAGTCAGATCTATCTGACTCCATAATCCACATTCTTTCTATTACATCTGGCCATAGCTGGAGGCCAAGCTTTGCTGTGCCTTGTGCAGTGGCAGGTGGGCTTTCTGTTGAAGGTGAGGGAAGACACCTTCAAGATGGGTTTTATAACTGATCAGATTTTAGTGGTAGGAAGATCACTGAATAGAAACAGAGAGAACACAGGAAGAGAAGGAAGGAGGCAACAATCATTATGTGAGTAATTACCCCTATAGGCAGCAAAGCTCCTATGACTTCATGTTAGATGCTAAATTACTGGGTTTGAATCCCTGCTGTGTTGATTATTAGCTGTGTGTCTTTGGGAAAGTTACTTAACCTCTCTGAGCTTCAGTTTCCTCATCTTGAATACTCGTTCATTCAGCAGCTATATCTACCATGTGTCCTATCAGGAGCTAGGGATACCACAGTGAGCAAAGTAAATGGCCTACTCACTTATTCTGGCACTTACATTCCAAGGTGAGGGACAGGAAGATCAGACAATAAACAGGCAATAAATATTATGCCAGGAGGTGCTACGTGCAAAGAAAAAAACAAAACAGAGTGGTGTAAGGAGACAGGTGACATAGGGGAGGTGCTCTATTTTTGATAAGATGGGGTCATGTGTGGTCCCTCTATAAGGTGACATTTGGCTGGGGCTGAATGAAGGGAAGGTGCAAGACTATGGATATTCAGGAACAGCAAGTGCAAAGGCCCAGGGGCAGGGCTGTGCACAGCATGTTTGAGAAAGAGCACGCAGGCCTGTGTGACTGGAGAGGAGTGAATGAACAGGAGCCTGGCAGACTGTTTGTTGGTGGCCACCAATAAGTCACACCAGCTCCTCTGTGGTGCTCTCCCCTGCAATCTGAGCTAGAGCTGTGACTTGCTTTAACCAAAGTAGCAACAGAAGGGATGCTCTGCCACTTCCAGCCCCAAGTCATAAAAGGGTCTGGGGGTTTCCACTTCTATGCTCTCAGGAGCCCTGGGCTGCCATGTATGAAGTCTGGCTGTGCTGGGACAGCCATGTGGAGAGGAAGAGGCTCTAAGCCTACAAGGAGAACTAAGGAACTGCCTGACAGCAAGAACCAAGGTCCCAGGCTTGTGCCCCAGGCCCCCGGGCATCCTCACCGGGCCCTGCCATGAAAAGCCTGTCTTGGTCACTCTGGCCTGAGCAGATGTCACAGGCAGCAGTGTGACGTCTCCTAGAATCCTGATGCACAGCATCAGCAGAAATAACAAAACGGCTAAGCCACTGCATTCAGAGTAGTTTAAGTAACAATAGGCATCTGGGATAGGGAGAATGCAACCGCTGAGGTCAGAGAGGTGGCCAGGATTGGACCACGTCGGGCTTTGCAGGCTGTGGTGTGACCTTCAGATGTGACTCGCATGAGAAGCACTGAGGGGAGCCAAATCGTGTCATGCTCTGCCCACATTCTAGAGGGTCACTCTGGAGACTGCAAGGCTGAGGACAGGTCTTACCCAGGCACCACTCACCCATGAGCAAGGAAGGTGATCGGATGCAGAGAAGATCTCAACGCAGTGCCCAGCACACACTGGGCTCCCTAAATGAGCTAACAGGCTGAGGAAGGAAGGGCTGGGGAGAGATGGGGAGAGAACCAGCCGCAGCCTCGCTCTGCCACACAGATCTGGAATCTTTGCCTTTCCCTGATGGGCAGGCTCAGACACAGAGGAGCAGCTGTCCCGCTGCAGATGACACACAGCCACGCAGATGACACAAGCCTGCCTGCTTCACTCACCCTTTCAATTCCCTGCTCCTACTCACCCTGAGGATATGACACACTTCCATTAGTAACAATGGCTTCCTACAGCAAATAGGGGTATGGCAGGGTGGGGGCCCCGGAAGGCAAGGTCCAAGCACTCCCCTCTCCAGGCAGCAACAAAGAGCTATTATTAACCAGGAACAAATGTCTTTGAATATAGAACAGCATTCACCTACTGAATATTCAGCAACTGTGGGGTCAGGCACCCAGGACAGGCGCTGGCTTCAACACTAGCCTGTCACTTACTAGCCAGGCCACCCCAGGCAAGACAACAGAGTCACATTTTTCCCATCTCAGGAATGGGGAATATAACACCATGGACCTCATCAGTGTGGTGGCAAGGATGGGGTTACAAACAGCGTAAATAATGTTGGCTAAGATTTACCGAGCACTTGCCTGTGCCAGGCTATTCAGAGTACTTGATGTGCTATCATCATACTTAATACTCTGAGCTATTCTTTGAATAGAATTATTCCTATTTTACAGATGAAGAAACTGAGGTTAAGTGGCATGCTCACTCATACAGTAACTGTTGGAACTAGGGACCTATCACAGGTTTATCAGACCCCAAAGCTGTAGTCTCCTCCATGAACAGATTCAATGAGTCATGGATTTGAAAGTGCTTTGAAAATGTTAAAATGCCACACACATAAACTAGGCAATTATCTGATCATTCTTCCATACAACCTCCCAGGAAGAATATGTTCTATTCACATTTCATAGAGACGGTCCTTGGTGGAAAACTCTTTTCTAAATGGCCATCGCTGAAGAGGAAGGATTTTTCCTCTTCAGACACTCCAAGGAAGTTCCCCATCTTCAAACAAAAAATATCACAACCATACTTTTGAACACGGGCATCATTATTTTTATAACCAGGATCCACCTCTTCCTGTTTTCAGACAGGACCACACACTCTTCAAAGCATGACATCACCTGATGTCTCATGCCAACCTGAAGAAGCAGGCAAAGACGGATTCACTGCCCTGGATTTTCAACAGGGAAACTGAGGTCCAGAGAGATGGTGACCTGCCCAAGGCTTTGATGTGAAGACAGACTCCTGCACGTCTTAGAAGGGTGGGCCGCTTCACCTCTCTAAGCCTCGGTTTTCTCACCTTCAAAGGAGAGTAAGGATGTCTCATTATGGTTATTGTCAGACACTCTACTGTGCTGCTCCAGCTGAGTGTCACCGTTGGCATGGCCACTTTAAGTCCTGTGATCAGTGTGAGGGCTGCCTGGTGACCATTTGCCCAGGAGAGGGGAGGATATTTCAGATACGTGGTGCCTCCATCTAGGAATTCCCAAAACTTGTTGGCTGCTGGAGCAAGATTTCAGCAATGAAGAGGTTATTTAGGTGAAAGGGTGACTGAGTAATTACAGGAGAAACACGGCAGAGGCAGGCACAGCTCCTTCTTCTAGTATCTGGTATTCTTCCAGGTTAAGGGTAAAGTTAGTCCCTCTGAGGCTTAGAGCAGTGTCCTGCTCACAGAAGGCCCTCTCTCTGAAGAATGAATGATTGGATGAATGAATAGGCAGAGGCAGGCACGTCTGGAGAGCATCGTTAGGTCCTAACTCTCTTTTCTTTTTTTTTTTTAAATTAATTACTTTTATTTTATTTTATTATTTTGCTGGCCGGTGCAAGGATTGAACCCTGGACCTTAGTATTATCAGCACCACGCTCTCACTGACTGAGCTAACTGGCCAGCCCCTAACTTTCTTGGCAAAATTAATTACTTTTATTTTATTTTATTATTTTGCTGGCCGGTGCAAGGATTGAACCCTGGACCTTGGTATTATCAGCACCACGCTCTCACTGACTGAGCTAACTGGCCAGCCCCTAACTTTCTTGGCATCTCTT